GCTGAAGATCCACCAGGGTCATCAAGGAATCACCAAGTGCAGAGCTCGAGCCAAAGACTCTGTATGGTGGCCAGGACTTTCAACAGCCATCGAAAGTATGGTGCGCAGATGTCCAGAATGCATCAAAGAAGCGTCGAACCGCCATGAACCTTTGATGCCATCCAACTTTCCAGAGCGTCCATGGCAGAAAGTAGCAATGGATCTGTTCTACCTGTCAGGAAAGAACTATCTTCTAGTAACTGACTATTACTCGAGATATCCAGAAATTGCTCTTTTGAATACGATGACATCAAACGGTGTAATAATACACCTAAAGTCAATTTTTGCAAGACATGGGACGCCTGAAGTTGTGTTCAGTGACAATGGACCACAGTTCCAGCGAATCATTGGAAGTGCATTTCAGCAGTTCGCCCAGGAATGGGGTTTTGAACACAGGACGTCCAGTCCAAGATATCCACAGAGCAATGGATTTGTTGAAGTTGCTGTTAGAATTATTAAGAGAAGCCTCAAGAAGACATCTGACAGCTACATCGCACTGCAATCCTACCGTGCAACACCATTGGGAAATGGATATAGTCCCGCCGAATTACTCATGGGTCGCAAGCTGAGAACGTCCCTTCCATCTGTTTCCTCTTCTTTGGAACCTAGGCTTGTGAATGCCAAAGAACTCCAACGGTGGGAAAGAAAAAGAACAAATCAACAAAAGGCCAACTATGACAGACGACGGGATGTAAGACAACGCAAACCATTGAGAAGAGGAGATGTGGTCTGGATTACCGATCAGCGAAAAAGAGGAACAGTGCAATATGCAACGGAGTACCCAAGGTCACACTTAGTGGACACCGATTCAGATACTCTTCGCCGTAACAGCTTTCATCTTACACCGATGCCTGGGAGTAAAGACACCGATAAAAGTGCAGCACCAGACATCGGATCGACTGCTCTTACACCGGTGCCTGGGAGTGAAGACACCGATAAAAGTGCAGCACCAGACATCGGATCGACTGAGTACACGACACGAAGTGGAAGAGTTGTAAAACCTGTAAATAGACTTCAGTTTTAAAGGGGGGAGATGTGCTGTTAGGCTTTGCTGAAGAAGAGGAGAACGACGGGGGTTTTTGGGATATAGAATAAACATGGCGTCTAGGCAGGAGGCTACCGGGAGCGCTCTGTGTCATTAACAGCCAACAACACAGGCAGCAGTCGGAACTCCAGCGAGGTTGTCGCACATGCCGAGGGACTAAGGTTCCCTCGATGCATTACAGCGGCAGTGTTGTAGCCAAACTGTCCGGTGGGATTAGGTAATCTATATGCCAAAAAAATATATTTTTCGGTGTCCCAAACTGGCAAAAGGCATCTGGTTGATTAATCGTAACAGTCAAAGGCATCTGCGGATTAATTTCCCCGGTATCTTTCGAGGTGCGACCAAAGCCTCGGTTGCCCGCCTCTCGCGCCATGGGACTCCGTCACGTTGTGAGCACCTCGACTGGGTTTTAAACCCGCCCCCTGGGAACCTCCTAAGCGGCACAAATGTGCAGAGGTTAGCGTATCTGATTAATCGTCGGGAGACCCCAAGTGGCATCCCGGCCCCATCAATTAATTTCGCAATATTCTTTTGCATTGGGCTGGTATGGTTTACACTTCCACATACTTGGATTACATACTTGTACAGATATAGTACATACTCAAAAGAGGGAGTGACCTCGAAATAAATAATAAGGAACAATTTATGCAGTTTTGCTCAGGAGAAAGTTCAATGAAAAGGCACCACGTGCCTCTAGCCAGTGAGTGAGCTGCATTTAATTTTTAATAAAGATTGCGTATGAGAAACTCGCAAAGGATCTTTCATGAAAGCTCCTTCGCAGATGTAACCGTAGTGGCAGGTAAAGTATCCTATACAACTGGTTGTCCATTTTAAGGTTTGTGCAACGACTGAGCTTGATTTACCGATCCAATGCTCGTACAGCAGAATATAGGTATTTTCTTTACGTCTGTAGCCCATTCAATTCAGACAGTCTATATCCCACTTGTGAGCATTGTACTGAGTGACTGAATGATGTGGTTTACAAGCTCAGACATCTGCAGTTGCACTAAATATGCTCAGTCCTTCAATACGCAAAAAAACTCCTCTGCAACAATATGGGAGAGCTTAGTACGCAACCATGCATGCCACTGTGGTGTTGACGAGATTGGCAGAGAGCTGCCAATCTAGCCAACTCCACTGGAAGACCCACTCAGATGAGCCACCCCTCAATGATGCTTCATCACACTGTCTCTGATTAATGTCCTCGGCTCCGTTCACTCCGTGAACTGATGAAACTTCTTTTTCTGCAACATTCTCAATTTTTCGTTTTTTTTTTTTTTTTTGTCTTTGTCTTAAGAAGATTTGTATACGCAGCCACCATTATCGAAATTCAGCACCCTGACTAGTGCCACCAGGTAGAGGCACTGTGAACTAGCAGAATTTTGCATAAAAAGAAACCAAGAGATTATTTGTAAGCACTGTTAGCTGTCAATAAAGAATGACAGGTGCTCACATATGGTGACCAATTTAGGCGTAATAAAATGTAAATACTAGCAAATTTGGAGTGGTTCAATCAGAATGAAATGGCAAAACGAGAGTTTCTCCTGAACAACAGTGAAGCATCTGGCAGCAGCTTTTGAACCTGTACCAAACTTTGGCCGAAGTTTCACGACCAGAAGCGCCTTGAAAGACTCCGGCTCAATTTTCACATGTTTTAACGACCACTTTGCGGCACTGAATGAGAACCAAAATAAATCAGTTTCTGGGAAAAGCTAAGCCGGTAAATAAAATTATAACAACCAGAACCCCAGAAAACTGGGAGAAAACCGATTTCACAATAAAATCTGTCCTCTAACCAAACTGTTATCTATTTCAGCTTGAACCCACACTTAGGGAATTTCAAGCACAATATGTTATGTAGCCGTGTCACATTATTACAAACCCCATTATGTCATTAATACGAACCCAACTACCGGGTTATTCAAGGAGACGGCAGGCTCTTTAAATCAACCGGAAAATTCGGTTTCTTAACCTATCGTGCTACGACTTTGTGCAGCGTTGCCCACAGTTGGTGCATTTTTTTTTTGTAAAGTTTGCAAAGAGCGAATTTACCTGAGGAAAAAGTAAAGAAAGAAAAAGGCTTAGCTCCTATGGAAACGCAGCGATGCCACCGGTCTGCAAACAACACGGCGCCTTTTCGCACGGGAGACAAGAGATGGCGCAAGCGGTCGCGACGCCAACTGCCACCAACGAACGAACAGACGATGCCAAGAGCCAGTGTATTTAGCAGACAAGGAACTGCAGTTCCTTGTTGTTACCGCGCCTGTCTTTTTTGTTTCCGCGACTCTCGCCGCCCACGGAACACGCTCCGCTTTTGAGTAAAGATTGCCTGCTAAAGACGCTGGCTCTCAGCACCGTATGTTCGTTCGTTGGCGGCGCTCGTTGTGCCATCTCTTGTGTCCCGTGCGAAACGGCGGCATGTTGTTTGAAGACCGGTGGCGTCGCTGCGTTTCCATAGGAGCTAAGCCTTTTTCTTTCTTTACTTTTTCCTCAGGTAAGTTCGCTCTTTGCAAATTTTACAAAAAAAAATGCACCATCTGTGGGCAACGCTGCACAAAGTCGTAGCGCGATAGGTTAAGAAACCAAATTTTCCGGTCGATTTAAAGAGCCTGCCGTCTCCTTGAATCACCCGGTATATAAACAACATTTTCAAGGACAAACTATGTGAGAAAACATGATTGCACTTTAAGACAAGGACAGAGGAAGAACAGACACCACAAAGCTATGCATGCATTTTTGTCTCATCACAGACACCTCCCATGATGGATGCTTTTTGGGAGAATGGAGGTGTTCATACTAATGAGACATCACCGCATATTTACTGGTGCAACGCAGGGCTGTAACCAGGGGGGGGGTTAGGGGGTTCTAACCCCCCCCAAAATTTTTTTCTGGGTACGGCCCTGGTCGGTGCACTTGCAGCCAGCCGATTTTAATCTCCACCTCTGCGGTATCTGGTAGCGCCGGTCGGCTACCAGATACCAAACCGGGACCGGTTCTCCGGTTTGCTGCAACTCTCCATTATATACCACCGATGCACATGATTCATAGGCGAAAATAAGACAATAGACACTTTCAAAATGGCCGCCGTTGTCCCCGAAAACCCCCCCCCCCCCCCCCCCCCCGAAATTTTTTTCTGGGTACGGCCCTGGTGCAACAGATGCCTTTATTGTCTCCCTGAAACTTTTCGTGTTAAAAAGAAAAAAAATGTCTAGAAAAAGAAATGCAATAGGCACAGTATCTGAATTATAATCAACTCAAAATGAGCAGTCAATAAATCAGCTGCAGGTTGCATGCATTATCTTTTTTTTATTTATTCATTTATACTACTGCTTCTTGTTCAGTACCATAGCAGGAATTTTACATAAAGGATAGTACAAAAACAAGTACATGGTCTCTTAGAATGTAGTAGAAGGGTGGTGAGCTGGGCTAGTTGGGTAAGCATCATACATGGTTAGTCAGCGAGCAACGTGAGGAAACTGTAGAAGAATACTGGAGACAGGAGAGATGCTGAACTCACAACTCAATATTTCATCGAGAAGAAAGAAATGTTTCCAACCATAATTGCATTCATATATTTCAATTCTTAATATTTATATTATCAGTAAAGAAAGCTGCATTAAAAGAACTAGACACGCGCGGTTCTGTCTCTATGTCTGCGCAGTACTGGGAACACACACTAGTAAAACACACACACAGAACTCACCCCCACATTCAGATGAGAGTACTAGTTGATACTACAGTCGGTGACAAGTCAAGAGTGAAGTTGAAGCTCCTCCCAGCTCTTCCCACTTCGGCAGAGCAAACTCTGGAGAGGAGGCGACCTCCTCTCCACCGTTCACTCTGCTAAGGTGGAAAGGGGTGGGAGGAGCTTCCACTTCACTTATAGTAAGACTATGCTGAGCCGGATGAAACTCACCTGTATGCACTGTCAGAGGCTTGAGAAGTCTCCTCGTCACAGCTTTCCTAGAGAAAATGACGGCACATGTCAGTTTGCAGACAGAGGATAGAAGAGGTAGGGCAACAGCTCAAAGAAATAAGGAACAGGTCTCCATCGGTCAAGATGTGATGCGAGAGACAAGTGTGAAATCTAAAAAAAACAATAAAAACCCATATAGGTAGTACTACTGGATGCATACAGCTCATATTTACAGTTACTGGATAGTATGCTGTATACCATAATGCTATTTAGGAGGATATCTCAACTGCTTGTTGCAGCTTCTAGAACCATGTCCGATTACAAGTTAGTGAACACTCAACAATTGTAAGTGGTAAGCTGAACATATTGGGTTTCAGCTGCCATACACTAACGCAGTAAGCATCAGAACATTCCAGTAAAAAATTTGCATTTTTAATGAGCACCACCCTTTCGAACCATATCTGATTACAAGTTTGTGATCCCTCGACAATTGTATGTGGCAAGCATACGGTAAACATTAGAGCATTTCCAGTACAAAATTTGTATTTGTTTGTTTCTTTGAGAATCAAAAATTATGTTTTACAGCAAATCTTCACAAATTTTCAGATCTCAGGGGAACTCTAAGCTATTCTGCTAACAGCTCAACTGTCTCGCCACAAAGCAATTATCCGAGCATACAAACCTCACTAACAATATTTCATGCACCGGGGAAAGAAGGGAACTAGCATCTGGCTCAGAGTCAATGAAATTGTGACTCGAAGAACACATTACTGGGGGCAAGGCTGACTGAGAGGAGGCTTGAAAGAACCTCCAAATTCCTGATGCCCAATTGGAGATGCCACCTCTTAGAAAACAAAATAAGGCCTCAACTGCCTCGTGAACAGAGTAGATAAATTGTTGAGCTTTTTTTCAGTATCGTCCTAAAATGCTATGCAACGCTGCAAGTTGCCCAGCAGCATCTCTATTCACTCACTCTTCTTTCTTTCAAACATGCTCAACTCCCCACGACAGAGGAGAGGAAGGCGCACAAAGAGTGTGATCCTATCAATGTCATTGCTTTCAGTAGCAAAAACATGATTAACACGAATCTCGGAAAAGTTTTGCAACTTTAAATTTAAAATTGAGGGTATGAGGGAGAAATCATTGTCAAACTGCATTTCTTTTGACTTTCAAATATAGCTGATATAAACTCTTCTCGTTTTTATGTATTTTTGACGGTTATTGTTTGATACTCCATACAGTAAAACCTCATTATAACAAAATTGGATATAAGAAACTAATGGATATAACAAAGCAATCATAATTCCCCTTGCTTGCTAATAGTTGGAAGAAATGGACATTGGCTGTAACAAACTAATGGTTATAACAAAATAACTACGACCGCTCCTTCAACTTTGTAATAACGAGGTTTTACTGTACCTGCAGGGGCCTATTAAAAGGCATGCAGTAGGTACTAAATAAAATTAAAAAAATTAAATCAAATTCTGCAGCTTTTTGTTCTACCTTTCTTTCACCACTTGTATCTGTGGTGAGAACGAAGTTTGTATCGTATCATAACAAACCACCACACCATTTTTGGGCAGAGGAGGCAATTATATACAATGCGAAAAAAGAGGCCCTCGTGAAGTCAGTCACAAAGCAATCTGCCACGAGCATCTTTCAAGTGGCACTGGCTGCACTTTGAGAGTATGTCTCATGCCATTAGAATGCAGAAGGTCCTCTTTAAGAGGAACCCGTTTGTATCCCTCTAATTGCTTTCCTTCGTCCGAGACTCCTTTTCTCCTACTGAAAACTCACTAAATGGGTTCAATCTACTCTCGCTATTAACGAGCTCCCCTTAAAGCCTGATGCAAAGCCAAAAAGGAGTTGACATTTGTCCTCTCTACCACTCCTTTGGGGCAAGAACTGGGAAAGGGTTTTCTGCCAGGCAGGAAATGATCCGCAAGTCGCTCTTTGCGAGAGTTGCTTCCGACGAGGTTTCACCGTACGAGCAAAGCTTTTCACTCTGAAACGTTTCAAGGTAGACAGCGGGGCTAGTTGGTGTAACAGTGCGTAACAACGAGGGCTAACAAAAGCAACACAGGATGGTGACTGCTTCTGGGCGCGGTGTAGTAGACTGATAGATGGTGGGTTCCCGTCGGCCTTGGTGAGTGAAGTTGCCAGTACTCTTGTAAAGAGAGTTGCTACACCTAAGAAAAGTGTGGGCAGGAGGAGGACTGGTGTCCTTTCCTACCTGCACGAGGTATGTCATAATTTAAAAAAAGTAAAAGGCCAATATGGCATCCCGGTTGGTATTCTGGCCCCTAGAGAATCAGCATAGTTTGTTCGAGGGTTAACTCGAAAACAGAGGGGCTACCAAAAAACAGTTGTAGCAAAAAGCATGCCACACCATTTGTGACTTGTACTTTAGGTGTTGTATACAGGATACCCCTCTCTTGTGGCAAGGCCTATATTGGACAAACGGGTAGGTGCTTAAATGGCAGGCTCGGGGAACACGACTATTGGCCGAAAGCCACGGCCGGTGGGCACCTGTTGGTGCACTGTAGGACTTGCAAGTGCAAACCATCCCCGATGAGACCACTTTCTTAAGAAGGCACCGAGATAAGGTGACGAGAGAAGAGATAGAGGCCACATCGTTAATTACGGAGTGTAATGTGTCAGTAAGCCATCTGTGGCATTATCGGAAAAAGAAATGCATTTTTGATATGAATGGGAGGCAAGTGATGCATTGATAACATAAGCTCCAATGTGATGAGACAGTTTGGGTGGCGCATGTGCAGTTGAGTGTACCTTTTATGCTTTCCTGTTTTCACTATTTTAACATTTAGTTGCGAGTCGGCGCTCGTTGTGTGTTCTGCTTCTCTTCTTAGTCCTCGTTGTTACGCACTGTTACACATACACAATGTTTGAAATTTTTTCCCTCAACAGTCACCGATGTAGACGTAACCGTTCAAAAAATAATGATGCAACTCGAATAATGACAATCCTTTGGAACGTAGCCCCAAAGGAAACCCACCATGCCACTTGCCACCGTGCAGTCGACCAAAAACGAGCCGTGTTCCGACAGCTCCTCGTCGCTCCCGCTTTCGCCGTCGTCAGATGCCGACTCCGAGACGTCTTCCTCCGATCCAGCGACGCTGCCACCCTCTTCCGCCCAAGAGCCTGCTCCGCGAGCTTCCCCACGTCCCTTGCCTCTCCTCCTCGGCTCGTCCAAAGGTCGCCGGCGGGACAAAGCACCGTCAAAGAGGGAATCGGACTCGCTGACGTCGGATGCCGACTCCTCTTTCTCGAATTCGTCCACGACTTGTTCAAACTCTCGCCTTTCGTTGAGCCACGACGAAGTCGCCGCGGGACCCGAAAGCTTTCTCAATCGTGCTGTTCTGGTCTTCGTCGGGTCTCCAAAGTATCCGTCGGATGTGACGGTCCACAGGTCGGACTGCGGGCACGTTTTCGGCTTGCGGCTGGTAGTCCCCTTTGGCCGTATCCTCAGGGTGCGTCTTAACTTAGGCGTCAGTCTCTTGACAAGCATACTCTTGCGATGCCGCCTTTTCGCGGGCCGCTTCCCAGATGTCGGCCGCATCTGAGGAAAAAGCGAGAAATTTTACTATTGCCGCAACAAGAAGCAAAAGTGCTCGCTCTGAAATGCTCCTGCGAGGGTTGGGTATGTGGAGAAACTTGAGCGTAAAAACAATGTTGGCAAAAACTTTACTCGAAGAACAAAGTAGTCTTGAAGTACTAAAATGAAACGAAACGCAATGCACTTCCAGGGTAAAGTACAATAGTCTCAACTCCAACAGCCACAATGCTCTAACTTCACTCAAATATTTACTATAAATAAAGCTCCAAGTTTTCAGCCAATCGACTTGTCGCCCTATGACAGGAGGTCCCCTCTGACAAGTTCTTTCTGCAAACTGACCTGGACGGGCTGGTCTATTGGACATGCTGCCCTACGACAAAATAGCTTTTGACATATTGGCCTGATTCCAATGCCGAGCAATGCATAAAAAAAAACAGTTCCCTTTAAAACATATCTGAATGCTGAAATAAATTCATAATGCATGTGAAGCTAATTAATAAAATTAAAGGAAGATCCATTGGTGGATCTTTAGGGAACAAGTTAGCATGACCCTTGGGAAACCCCATTGGAAAACGCTAACACTGACCCCTTCACTATTCTGTTTTGGCTTTCTCGTTTTACTTTCTCTTTTGCTTCCACTATTTTTTGCTGCCTCTTTCTGGCTTCGTTACGGGGCCAGTGTTAACGTCTCCCGAAGGGGGGACGGGGTGTGGCATTTCCCAAGGGTCACGCTAACACATTCCCTAAGGATCCACCAAAAGATCTTCCTAAACTTTTTCTGGCAAAAGCGGGCTCGGTGAGCCCGCTTCGCCATTGAAAAGCCCATTCACACAGTACCATTTGCTTATGTTACGTTACGAAAGTTTACGCCTGCTTACGTCGAATTACAACTGCGAATCACCGCGACATACCTGCTTCGTACGAAGTGTGCCAACCCACGCATCATTTTGTAAACAGTGCCTAGATCGCCGTCCCTCTTGCGGAACATTCGAGTGGCGTCCGACGGCACTCGAATGTCCGACGGCACCCGAACACGCATTCGAGCACCATCCGAAGATGTTAAACTCGAGTCGCGCTGTTATTCCGACACGCGTTCCATCAGCCGGTGGCCACACATTTGTTCTATAAGAAAACGCGAATGAGGCAACTGCCACGAGATAAAGAGCACCGTGCTTTACAGCCAGCTAATGCCTGCGTTGCAGAAGGAGCACTCTCTTCACTTTTGCTGAAGCAGCGTGTTCTCGAGGGGGGTTCAGGCTGGTTCACAGACGACCAAGTTCTCGCAATCTCTTATCACGAGAGAACATACTGGCACACTGGTGTCATCTATGAAGTGGCCCTGGAGCTGCATTTCACTAGAACAATGTTTTGCAGCATTTGTGAGATCAAATGTACAGATCAAATGTACAGTACAAAAGTACCCAGGACGTGCGAGCTGTGGCTGAAACGCATTGCCCTGCCATCTGCCAGCGGGTCGCCTGGCTTCGAGATCACACAAAAGCGCGTGCGCGTCCTTTTCTACCTGCGAAGATGTGTGTTCTCCCGCTCTTCTGCGGCACAGTGTTTAACTCGGAATCGGGCGCATGGTACCGCCTCAGAGATAGAGCAGGCAGCTGACGAGCGTCTGCTACACATTCCGAAACTCGAGATATCGCCTGGGGCATTGCGCCGCATTTCACCGTGTCAGCGCACCTTGCTTTATAACCAGTTCAGCTTATCGTTCAGTTAAGCTGCCGTGACTTCTTCCTTTATAGGTGCCATATCAGTAAGCGCTATCTCCGAGGCGGTACCACGCGCCCGATTCCGAGTTAGGCGCTGCAGAAGAGCGGAAAAGCGCACAAGTTGGCAGGCACAGTAGGACGCGCATGCGCTTTTCTGTGATCTCGAAACCAGGCGACCCGCCGGCAGATGGCAGAGCAATGCGTTTTAGTCGCAGCTCACGTGTCCTGGAGACTTTTGTTCCCGACTTACATACTATTGATGAGAAATGGTAGTCTAGAAAGCATTTAAGCCAATAAAAAAATATTGATGGGTAAAAGAAAAAAAAAATGAAGGACGTTTACAATCCCCTGTGGAGTGCATGTAGCTCTTGAGGAAGAGGAGGGGAAGGTACGGAGAGGAGGGTATGCCCCTCCTCCTCTTCTGCTCGCCTCCCATTTTGGGGAAAATTTTCCGCTAACCTTTCGATCTTCGAAAAGTTCTGACGCCTCTGGTAGGTAGGAGTGCCGTCGGGTGGCACTCTAAACCCAGAGTACCTCAAATTCCGCTAATAAAGACGAATGAATGAACACTGCGCTTTCCTAATCATGGCAATTCTGGACTGAAAACACGGGTTCGCGTTTCATGAACTCACGAGCTACTGACACGCTTTCGAGCGAAAAGCTCGTGTTAGCACTCCCGGTGTGCACGCACCTTCTCTGCCCAAGCAGCTCGAACCGGCGCTTGCACGCGACATGCGATGCACGGGTGCGCCGGCGACTCGTGGCCGCCGGTACATCCGTGCATCCACGAGTCGCCGGATCGCAGGAGTCGTGATACTGCAATGAAATTACAGTCAGTACGTAAGGAAACGCTCCTATGTGAATGGGCCTCAAGTGTAATCTAAATTTTCAAAAAGATTACGGTACAATGAGTTCGTCTTCCGCGAGAACTTCTGGCGCGCGTAAACAAAACATGCAACAAGCACCACCATATAGTGCATCCTTGCCTTTTTTCCTTACCTCTGATTTTTTTGGAAACAAGTTCGGTCTACGATTTTCTACAGACTGTTACGATGTCACAGACTACTAAACATTGCATTAAAAAGAAAACACTGGAAGCGAAGGCGATGCCGTACAGATACTACAGCCCAGCCGCCTGGCCACCTGGCTAAACGTTGGCTGGCCTGGGGGGCTATGTTGCGCTTTTTGCCGCTTTTTGCACTCCCAGGAGACTAGGGAGAGGGAAGTGACGTCAACGACACAGCAAACGCAGATTGGGTGTTGATTTCGTTTTCTTCTGTCAACATCCAATCTGCGTTTGCTGTGTCGCTGACGTCACTTCCCTCTTCCTAGTCTTCTGGGAGTCCAAAAAGCGCAACATAGCACCCCTGGGCTAGCCCAGCCAAGGAGGTTAGAAGGGTAGGAGAGAGCATGACGCCAGCCGCGTAGCCTCCACAAGCCATGCTTCCTTGACGCCTCGACTCTTTCTCATTTTCCTCCTTAACCTCCTCACCTATCAGGCCAACGTGACCAGATCACGTGACCGTAGCTAGCCTTCGTCTAGCTATGGGGTGCTAGAATACACCACAGTCTAGCTTTCCATCTGATAAAACCTACCGGACGGAGCGCGCGCAAGCCTGCGAGGAGTCTTTCTACAATCCACCATCCATCTCACATGTGACATGTCACGCGCACCAATTGCCAGAGAGATCTATGGTCACGTTGGCCACAACATCGTTTAAACTTTTTATGACTATGCCCTCTCTACCCTTCTTCCCTCCTTGGGACGCTGTGACGCCAGTGACGCTGTCACTGTGGCTGTGACGAAAGCAACTGCGACGACTGCGACACTCACGTTTGCTTGTGCTACTCGCAGCTTCTCGTTAGCATTTCTATGACCAACCACCAGGATCGCGACATGACACTCCGGCTCTTGCGACGTCATTGGGCGCGTTAAGTTAGTGAGCTCCAGACTCCGGACATCTGCGCTCGAGCGCGCGGGTTCGGAGCGTAGCTTAAAGGCGCCATCTGGCGCCTATTTTTTTAACGTTTCCGGTTCCGGCTTTCTGGCGCGCGCTTAAACTAGAGCACTATATAGCTCCTTCGGAGCAGAGTAGCGCAGAGCCGTATATTGGGAGAGTTGGGCCATTGGGAGGCGCAAGGGCCGCCGCCAGTGCCAATTATTCCCCAAGCGGTTATAGCTTGAACTTTTTGTAAGCCATTTGCACCAATCAGCAAACCGTTACGTCACAACATTGAAAACGACATTGAAGGCGTGTAAGTGAAGCGCAAGCGTTCAGTCTGGGTTCAGTCGGTTTAGCCGGTAGCGGTCGGTGACACAACCGGCGACAGAGCAACGGTGATCGCCGATTGAGTGCGGCGTGACTGAGGCTACGAAGAAACTGATAAAAACGTTCCCATAATCGAGACGGTAGTCTCTCTTCCGTGGAAATTAGACTTCCTTTTTTGTCAATAACAGGTGAGTGAGCGCCAACCTAATCGAAGAGAGAAGGCATCGGGATTTCCGCTGACACCTAACGGCTCTGTGCAGCGCCTTGCTTACAAGCTGCATGTACCAGAACTTATATTCTGCACCAGAGTGGACTGTAGTACATCTCGCCCGGTGTCGGAGTGCGTAGTGAAAAGCAACTCGCAACCGGCGGAAGCTAGCGGTATCATGCTATCCTGCGAGGGCGAGCACCTCGCTTTTGTGCCCACCTGCGCTGCTCGAGTGTTCGTCGTGGACCGAAGTGGTTGATGCATCGATCAGAGCCCCGATGAGCGGCGCCGGAAAAGAAGCTACACCTCTGAGCCACACAAGCGGCTTGTTTGATTGAAATTTCTCTACCACTTTAATAATTTCTGCCCCGGAAGTATGCTTAGCAGACTCCGCTACCACACCGGCAGTAAAGAAGCTAGATCGAGATGAAGCTCCCCGGGTGTTGCGGTTTTGTCCAGTGGAGGTTGCCTTTTACACCAAATTCGCGTCATATAAAGTCACTCGATCGTTTAGGACAAAGACAACTCTCATTTGGACCAGTGCATAGAGGAAGCTGAGTGTCAGTAAATATTTTCGAACCACTACTTCATCTGGGCGACATCAGTTAATTTGAAATGTCATTTCTTCTGCTCACGAGAGACGGGGGTAGAGCATGTAGGCCGAAGGCCCGGACCAGGTGGCTGTCATAGTGTGTTTGCACTGGATTGGTTACAAGTTTAATTACAGCAAGAGATACTTATAGGTGAAGCGAGCACTGGAAAATGTATTTCATTTTGTTGCTGTAATAAAAACAGTCCCATCACATTTAGTTGGGTGTATTTCTTGTCTGCAGTTGCCTATGCGGTCAAATGAGTACCATCCCAGGCTCTACGAGCTACAGCACTCAATCTGGCTTTTTGGTACTGTTGCAATTTTCACAAGCGATCTCCAAATTTCTCAGAGTAGAGAGTTTGGGACTGAAACTTCGTATTCCAGTCCTACTCTTAACCATAACTTCAAAAACAGGAAGATATGTGGCAAAGAAGCAAAAAAAGGCTATGTTTAATTAACCTGAGACGGGTAGAGAAGAAACATCAAAACGTAGAAGGGACAGAAAATAGACAGGACGACGTCTCAAACTCACGTAACTTATTTATTTAGTCCACCTCCTTATATAGTCTCAATCTCAAAATCATCTCCACCAACACAAAAGGACGAAATCTATACAGATCAAGCGCCACAGCCTTCATCGCACAATGCAAGAACGTTGACAACGTTTACAGGTCAACGCGATAAGGCAACATCCATCCACCCTCAAACTTGAACAAAAGGATCTCTTCCACTACTACTATTCTATACACAGTTCATACTTCTCTTCAAGTTTGAGGGTGGATGGATGTTGCCTTATCGCGTCGACCTGTAAACGTTGTCAACATTCTTGCATTGTGTGATGAAGGCTGTGGCGCTTGATCTGTATAGACTTCGTCCTTTCGTGTTGGTGGAGATGACCTAGAGATTGAGACTATATAAGGAGGTGGATTAAATAAACGAGTTAGCCGAGTTTGAGACGTCGTCCTGTCTATTTTCTGTCCCTTCTACGTTTTGATGTTTCTTCTCTACCCCAGTCTCGGGTTAATTCAACATGGTTAATATTCACCAGCTCGCCTGCACCCTTAAGATTTTTTCTAAAAAAAGGCTATAGTAGCTCATTGTTTGCAATCAAGTAAAAAGACAATTGGCGAAGTACCTTTCTATATGAGCGGAGCATAAATCCTTCCATATCGGAGCTAAAATGTAAAGTTATGTTTGGGCACACAGGCATGTGCACAAAGCTTTGTGTCCACGTACCTTTTTTGTGCCTGTGCCTTACTCACCTGCTGCAGAACTTTTGCTTCGATGTACTGGCAGTGCGTCAGTGTGATTATTTTTTATTTACCTTCTGTCCAAACGAGGTGAATGGGCCAATAATTTTTCAGCAACACATGCATCGTGCCAAATGTTTTATTAGCACCTCCATAAAACTTGCACTCCTGGCTTTAACAAAAAAAAATCTGCATTACAGAGGTATGCCCACTATACCGAGAATCACATCTTAGTGTGCCTAAACTTCTCTTTCATTAGTCACGGAGTCTATTATAAACTACTCCCAACGAATTATAATGTGGTGGTACATAAAAAGAAACACACACAGCTACCAGTATGCAAATTTATTTCGAGAGTCACTCACAAAAGGTATAAAATATGCTTTCAGAGAGAGCAGAGCAACTTTGTTGGTTAACGGTCAAATGGCGCACTGGAAAGAGTGCAGGAAATTGCACCAATGATGATACATAGAAGAATAACATTGTTGTTTTGGATGCTCAATTATATGGACAGCGTGTCCTTGGTGGATGCACCTCCTAATTATTGTGTTTACGGAATTACTACGCCACTCTTCTACCATTATAAACGCAACTTCTTGTGCACACTTTTTTTTTTTTTTTTAAATCTGGTGACAAACGGCAAACTTTTAACAATAAATTCTGAGAGCCTATTTCCCCTTCATAAATTTTGGAGTACATTACCTTTCTCCACTTGGTGATCCAGACATCCCATTAGAGTTACAGAAAGCATTAAGGCGTGTACCACACATTAGAGGGGAAACAGTGTACCACAAATGTTAAAGCAAAAGAATGACATTTTATTATAAAGAGTGTGAGGCAGTGTCAGTTATCCGAGTTCCAATCTTCAGTAAAGCCTTTAAGCTTCTTAGAGAAGAATGATTTGTGCACTCCTTAATTTAAAATTGGCAAGTTTTGATATTTGCTTGCAGACTTGCAGCCTACAGTAAAAAGAAGTGTTAGTATAAACAAGTCCTGTGTCTTTCATTAGTAATAAAAAGTTTATTTAAAATGTATTAAAAATTACTGAAAAATAATTAACAGTGAAATTTTAAGCCTTATATTGTTCCCATTCAAGCAAGGGGATTCCACTCAAAACTCATCCCAAAAAGAACAGAAGAATGATAAATACTCAAGATAACTTACCATGCTCAGGTGTCCTGTTAATTTTGCCGTAAATGGCATGTTATGCATGTATGATATCAAAATGTGGTTAAAAGCAGCTTCCCAAGATCAGTGTTATTGTGCTCTTGGTATAACAAACAAATCTTACCACAATCGCTTTATGAACAATGGGTTAGAATCATAATCCCCAAGTTTGTCAATGGGTTTTCAAGAGTTTTGCAGGTACTCCACCAGCTGGTGTTTAAGACAAAGAAACTGGCATTCCTACCAGAAGCTATGTGCTGTAAAATATTGAGTAAGCGCTCATCAAATGGTTGGAGATAACTGTAAAAAATATGGGATAGGCACTTTGCAGGTTCCAGCGCTGAAAGTCAGAACGGTGCAGGAGCAGTGTTGTAGTCTGGTGGGACCCCTATTTTCTTAAAGCAGTTGCACCGCTTGCATCCAGCCAGCTTTGTGCTGGCACTCTCATGTGAAGCTTCATTGCTTCTTACCGGAGTGAGCATGGAAAGCTTCACCGCTCTGCAGCAGCGCACTGGGAAATGTGGTTGATGCGGAGGAGCGCCTTGTTTCATTCAATACATTCAGAAGTTCACTGGCCTGGGTGCTTGATATGTTCTTAATCACTTTTTAAATGTTCAAAAGTGGGGGTGGACACCTATTGCGATATGAGCACATGCTCATCATTTTATGGCACATGCAATGGCAGAGATA